GATTCTGTTGAAGTCTGTGTTCCTGAACTTGTTTTGATTATCCTTGTTCTGATAACTAGCACATTCTCTGGGCAGGTAGTACAATCACAAGTCTATTATGAGTGAAACTGAACTTTTGAGGAAAACCCCAAGATGAGGCTAAAAATGAGAGCACATGAGAAGTGTGCATCCATGTGTTCAATAAGCAACAAAAGCTCCAGCACTGGCTTTTCTGGATGTCGTGCTGATGTTTAAAATCCAAATTTGCCATCTTTGTTTATTCTACACATCTTCTTCTTCTTAAAAGAAATTAAGTCAGCAGACCCCTCCCCATGCATTTTTCAAACATCCAGGTCTCCAGTCCCTCAGATTTTGCCTTCTCTTGTCAAATAATGAAATGTCCTTTTCACATTGCGTCCTTCCTTCCTGCCTTGCACTGCATCCTCTGAGACGTTCAGTCTCTAGCAACCTGTCAACCCCACTCCCTCACACCCAGCTCAAAAGCCAGCCTCATCTCCTCTATTAAGTTCTTCCTGTTCTTCCTGCCTGGTGTCACTGTCAGTCTTTAACACCCCACAGATTTGTATCTGTATTACTTTTAGGCACTCTTCATCCTCAGTCTCTGAACTTACATTTCCTCAGTCAACTCTGACACCTGAGGATATCAAGCGTCTTACCCTTGTAAGCAATAATGTGCAGTACAGAGCCTGGTATGTGGCAAATGTGAAAATAAGTGTCTTTTGGAGAAAGTACATATGACTATATTAAAATATTTCACTGGTGGACTCCAGAGGTCAGACTTGATAGATCTAAGCAAAATGAAGAAAAAGTATGTTTGCCACTTTAGCGTTTCTGATGAAACGGGACAAATCTCCCTTCACGCTTTTCTTCAGTGGGTGGGCCTGTCTGCAGGGGTGTAGGAGACTTCGTTGATTCTTGTATCTGGAAGTAAACTCAGAAGCTCAAAGTTCACCTGGTTTCTTATATTATTTTTCCTGCCAAAGTGCCCCACCCCTGTACTCATTTGTTCTTAGCCAACACCAGCAATCAGCTCAGCCAGAGACAACCCTAGGACAGTCCCCAGGACACCCTGTGGATGTTCAAAGGATGCTCCCTTTCAGTCAGTGACCTCGACTTCCTCCATTTCCAGGCTTCCATGAACCAAAAGAGAAAGACAGGCTCAGATTTTCAAATTTTTCAGATTTGGGTGGTTTTATTCATATGAAACAGTTAATTTTAATACAAATATCTTAATAACATCTTCACTTTTTTTTTTGCAAAGACAAGAGAGTACTAAGCCTCTCTATTCAAAAATAATATCCACGGAATTCTTAACATGTGCAGAGATCACCTGGTGAGGGCAGGGGTAGAGTTAGCACTAACTCATCTAGACATGCTGTGGTTCCTTTAACCATATGCAACCCCAGTCAGAAAAGAGAGCCAAAAAACCAACACTGGGAACAAAAACTGGAATTTTCTTCAGTACTTTCATGCTGAAGACATAGAGGGTAGGTGTTGAGGACACCTGCAGAGGAGCCAAGTGTGGCTGGAGGCATCCCTACTCTCCCTCTCCACTCTCACATCCTCCCCACAGTGCTCCTCCAGATCTCAGCATTCTGAAGAGCTGCTTTTGAATCATTCATCCAGCTGATCTTCTCATGATGTCAGGGTGTGCTGCTAAATGAAGGATTATGGGGTTAGCCGTGAATATGAAGCAGGGAAACCCAGGAGAATAGCCCATTCTGGATGTGGAGCAAAACTGTAATCTGCAATTTGGATACTTAAAGTGTGGTAAAGGCCAAAAGAGGATTCTTGGATAATGTGAAGGAATACACCAGAAAGGGGAGGAACTGTCACCCCATAGTGCAAAGAAAAGCTAGTGGTGGCTTCCAGTGGGAACGTTCTTCCACAGTGTTGGGAAAATGTGCCATGGAGATGTTGCTCTTGGTGAAAATGACTGAGGGGAAAGAAAAGCAAACACTTTCTTTCAGAAGCAGTCAAATAAACAGTAATTTGGTTTCTAATAGTCATGTTTGCCACAAGGACTTTGAAATGAAATCCTCATGGAGTTTATCAAGAAGTCATTAGTTCCCCAGGGCCTAACCTTCACAAGTCTCACACTGTCTACAGTAATCCCTCAAGATTTATTTTCTGGATTTTGTGATTTCTCAAAGCTCGTCCCATAGCATTTGATTGTTGCTCTTATCAACAATAAGGCAAAATTATCATCAAGAAAGAAATGTATGTGGTACAATGCTATAGTAAATACAGGTGTGTGTCGTTAACTGCCACTTGCACATCTTTTCCTGGTTTTCTCTTAATTGTGTATATATAACTGTGTATATATTTGCTATGACATATGTGGGGCATTTTTAGTTTCAGTTGGGCCTTTGTTCAATAGTATAACCCCCTAATTTCTTAGTTTCATTGAAGAAAATAAAATTTAACTTTGGTCATATCTTTTCTGTAACTAACATCCTGTAGAGTTGAGCTCCCCACCTGTTGCTATAAACGTGGACGATATGTCAGGATTCCTTTCTTTCTTCCCTTGCTTTTCCTATGTCTGTGATTTTTACCAGAAGCTTCGTTTCTGTTGAGTCAGGTTTCCTGGGTACCAGTCTATGCCTTAGGTACCCAAAGTTCCCAGGGTAAAATACAAACTCACTACCACCTCTTTCAGCATAACTGTCTCTTTTTTTAATCATCAGAATAAACTTTGGAGCAGTTTTAGTAGCCCTTTAGAGCATTAAAGGCCTTCTGGGTTGTTCCGAAAATAAGACTGTGAGTTTTGTTCCATAACTGAAAAAAGAAAAATAACCAACTACTCGTCTCGTGGTAATTCGGAGTAGCTGAGTTGCTTGTGTACTGAGCCTTCTTTCAAATAGCAGCATTTAAATCAAGCAAAAATAGATAATGGATATAATACCAATGCCTTACCAGATTTAGCCAACTTGTTGTGATCAGTGGGTATAACTATTATCAAAAAAATGCCCCAGCAGTGGCATGTACGCTGAGGTTAATTAGTTTGCTTGTCACAGTATGATGGAAATGGCATAAGGCATTCATTCTGTTGTGTGTCTGTGATAAGCAGCCAGCCAGGGCACACTGTTGCACCCAGGCCCATGAGGGCTCTGCCGCAACAGCACCCCAGTCATGGAGCCTGGCTGCCTGGACATACACTTGTGCCTTTTTGTACTGTGCAGCCTACCTACCTATTCATAAAGGAAAAGAATACCTTCCCCTAGCCTAGCAGCTTCTACAGGTTATTTCACCTGCTGGCTTCCTCCGTATCCCTCATCCGTGTTCTGCAGGTAAATATACCGCCAGGCCATTAAAATCCTCATTTTCAGTATAGTTTTCAATAAAGTGTATCAAAGTAAAGCCCTGGGCTGAGATACAAGTGAAATGAGGGAGAAGTCCCCAAAGAATGACTGAACACAGAGCCAGTTCTCAAGGGGGTGGCGTGGAGGAAACCAGCACATTCCCATACTAGATGGTGTGACTCATGAATGGCAATATTGTATGTAAAATCACTAATGGATAAATACTCCTAAAACAAATCCTGTCCCAACATCAGAGGACCCTGAGGTTCATCCTATGCTCAGCACTTTAACAGGGCCACAACTGCATAGACCTGGCCATCACAGATGCCTTTCACCAATGCGACCACAGGACTTGGGCTATTTTAAATTGGTAGGAATTTTAATCCTGGGTGTGTTTAAGAAGGGAACAAGAACTATGAGCAGTTTTCTGCAAAACAGAAGCTCAGAGACAGATGATATCAATAAATAAAGAACCTGTGCTCTCGGAAATTGTGAAACTGCTTTTCCTTTAGATGGTGTGTATCTAGAGTTAGCTTTAGGAAAAAAAAAGAACTATTGCTTTTATAATTATTAAGACATTTTTCGGGCTGGAGAGATGATGGCTCAGGGTTAAGAACAGGTAATGTTCTTGTAGAGGACCCGAGTTTCGTTCCCAGCACCCATTTCAGGCAGTTCACAACAGCCTGTAATTCCAGCTCCAGGGCATACAACACCCTCTTTCTGAGCATCTGCATTCACATGTGCAAATTCATACACACACACATACACACATACACACACGGAGAGAGAGCGAGGAGAGAGAGAGGGAGAGAGAGAGAGATTAAAAGTAAATAAAGAAATTTGTAATTAAATAATCTAAAGATTCTGGAACAAAGAAAGTATGTGAAATAAATGCTTGGAGTCTGTGGTAAAGTGTAATCATGGGTCACCTAAAAGTGCATTTGGGTCTACAGCTAACAAAAAGCCCCTGATTTTTTTCTTCTTCTAGCATGAAGCTCTTAAACACAAAAACCAACAACAGAACTTCCATGTTTTGGGAAAAGGATAGTGAACTGTAGTGTGGTATCCGAGGTCCCAGCATGACATTCTAGTTTACAGTGTGCTCGGCAGAAAGGACCCAAGAGGGGTCCAGTGCCAACGTAAAGGTTTTAAATCATAATTCTAAACACTCTGCTGGACCTACAAAGCCTGCTTGCTCAAGCTGGGTTCCCACCTCCTTCCTGAAGACCCCATGGATTCCTTCCTTAAAGATTCCTCTTCCACCTGTAGCAGTGGAGACCCAGAACTGGTTCATGACTCTTAGGAGTATAGCAGATTGAAAAGCATGGCTGTAAAGTGATCTGTGCTCCTCCTTTGCCTCCCTCAATTCTTTCTCCCTGTCTGCTAAGAACAGAATACTCTCTCTGACCCCAGAGCTCATGTTTAACATAAAAAATACACTTTGCAAATGTCCTGCATGTTCTAATTCATAAGATGGGAGGAGAAAACAGCTCCTCTGAGCACCAATTTAATGTTGTTTAACCCGAGCAGTCCCTAGGAGCCAATCCCTGCCCACCCCTCTTTGCCAGCCAGATCCCTTTGCTAGCTACAGTGTTTGCATTAATCAGCTGCATAGGCTCAGAGACTGTGTGTTTTGGTGTTGTTCGTGTGTGCAATCTCGTGCTGCTTCCTGAACGCATGTGTCCCTTCCCTTCACAGCCTACTCGACACCCAGCACCTCCCCCGCAAACCGATTCGTCAGTGTTGGACCACGGGATCCAAGCTTTGTAAATATCCCTCAACAGACACAGGTGGGCCGCTCTCATCTTTTCTGTATGTGGTGCAGCTTGTGTTATTCATCAAGTGCATTTTAACTTGTCTTGGGGCACACCAGGCCACATGTCCCAGCTCCTCTTCAGTTCCTTTCCTCCTGACCCCAGCCCTTCCACCCCTTCAGTCAGGTTTTCTCAATGTTCTCAGGAACCATAGATAACATTCCTGGGACTTTTTCTTATAGTATTGGGGTAGAAATGGAGGGTTTCTGGGCCAGATTCTTTTTGCCTTGGCAAGTCAAAGTTCTCAGGCTGAGCAGTGTGTATATTCCCTCCTTAAGGCAGCCATGGTTCTCTTAACAGCAAGCAGACTTGGGTCCCAAAGAACCTGGTTGCCATGGTACCACGTGCATACTGGGAGGGGGAACAGCTACGCCTCTCATTTCAGAGTCCCCAGGAAACTGGCAAGCTTTCTTAAAGAAAGAGGGCCAGAAAGTTTCTGAGAGCTGTAAGTTGCTGATATTGGGCCATACGGAGGAGATGACTGCTGGCAGCTGGGGAACAAGGTGCGGTGTGGGAAGGGCTGAGCTTAAGGTCATAGTGAGGCTGGAGACTGAGAGTGCAGGGTGTCCGGAGCTGCTTTGAGCACAGTAGACAATTGTGTTTGGAGCTTGTGTAGGCCAAGAAGAGCTATTTTAAAACAGTTTTGGAGTGACTGCTGTGAGTTGAGAAGTAACGAACTTCTGGGTTCCAAGGCATTATGTAGAGGCTTGTGAAACAAAGTTCAGGTTTTGAACAGACACTACTCTGATTTTCTAATTAGAATGTGACCATATAGTCTCATAGCTAACACTAGGAAATTATTTTTCCAATGAGGTTCTTAGCATGGTTTGAAATTTTCTGAGTGGTCCTGTGCATATGCTTAGCTGTGGAATGTCAGCTGCCTACTTTATAACTGCTCATCTGTGGTGAAACTGCAGCCAGGTGCTCTTGTGTTCTGATTGCCTTCCCAGGGGTTGCCCTGCCCTTACAGGCTTCCCCTGATGCCTTCCTTCCACCAAAGCAGAATCCCAGGAGAGGACAAAGGGTTGGGAGGGATAACTCCTGAACTTCCCAGGCTGCTGTTTCTTCTTACTCTGACTGGCATGGTGTCTGAGATTAAAATCTCCTAGTTGGCACCTCTCCTAAAATTCTTCCACTTACTTAGTTTCCCATGCATTCTAATACTTTCCTGGTGAGTTTGACGTTGCATAACTGCCTTGAACATCTATCTTAAAATGGAAGAGCATAATTTAGATTTGTGATTTGGACTTGGGTGTTCAGGCTGAGGGAAAGGGATGAGGCAGTGGCCATGGGCCACTCCATCAAATGATGCTTGTCTTCTCCAAGCTGAGGTATGCTCAAGTTGCTTCACCAAGAACCAAAAAAAACACAACTTTAAAGCGTCTTGTTTATATTTTACATAGTATTTTTATATAACTGTAATTCACAGCATCTAAAGTGTACCATTTTCCACTCAATTTATTTCTCTAAAATAAAAATGTATTATTTTCCAGTATCACTTTGTTTCACAAATGCCTTACTTAACCCAGAGATGTGAGTCTTCGTAATGCTGACCACAAAAATTCAATCCTTAAAAAATCCAGATTTTCCACGCATCTGGGTGAATGATGTCATGTACACCCAGTACTGGCATCTGGAGCTGATTTTTTTTGTTTTCCATTAGATATTTGGCATCTTGGGGACAACAGCTTAAATGTTTCTTACCGCAGTGACACCTGTCACATTTGGCTTGAAGAAAACCATTTCCAATTGTCTTCTGAGAAACTGTGTTAAAGGAGTTATCATTTTTTCCAATCTATGTATCTGCCTGTCTAGCCTAATTATATCTCAAGGTAAAAATTATATACTCCAAATATTTTGATTTTATGATATACATATTAGCTTTTTAAAAAGAAACTGTTCAAAATGTTAGGTGTATGTAGATATAGATAACAAAGTACGATAGACCTTAAATACAAGTTTCCTTCAGGAAGACATTAGTTGAAAAGAGATTTTTTTCCCACAAGATTTGTATGAGTGTGTGTGTGTGTGTGTGTATATATATATACTCTACCACTGAACTATATCCCCAGCCTTCTTTTTACTTTATTTTAAAGATTTGAGACAGGATCCCATCAAGTTACTCAGGCTGACTTTGAACTCATGATCCTCCTGCCTCAACTTTCTAAGTACCTGGGCATATATAGGCCTACACCACCAGAACTGGCTTCCAGGAATTTTTAAAAATATAATTTGAATGTCTGCAGATTCATCATTTCCTATATAAGCTACATTATTCTCTGGATTACTTTGCTGTAAAGCCTGAAATTTGTATTACTTGAAATATAAGAAAACCTTTCAAGGAGAGCAAAATTTTGCTTTCTGCCTCTGCAGAAATAAAATTTGAAGTCACCTAGGTAGATACTTGAACTTTGTAAATGTAGAGGACTGAGGCATAGTGGCCTCTACCTGTAATTCCAGAACTTGGGAGGCTAAAATAGGGAGATTGGAAGTTCGAGAACAACCAGAGATGGATAGTGAGACCTTGTCCCAAAACAAAATAAAACAGAACCCTAAGTGCAGAATAATCTTGTACTTAAGTCCATAAACAAATGTAAGATAAAATGATCCTTCTTCCCCCAAAAGCTAGTTCCCAGTAGACCTCACTTAACATCCCTTTAGCCATTCTATAGAAAATGATTCCTATAGTATAAAAATCAAATCAATGCTTAGCTATTGCAAGTAGGCTTTCAATTTATAGTAAAGCTATTTGAGGGACTAGGCAGTAGCTCAGTTGGTGAGGTGCTTGTCACAAGCATAAAGACCTGTGCTCAGATCCACAGCACCACATGAAAGTGTGGGTGGTGGTATGTATTTATAACCTGAGTTCTGGGGGGTAAAAAGGGGAGAGATAGTTGGATTCCTGGACATCACTAGCCAGCCTGTCTCGCTGCTTTAATGAGCTCCAGGTTCAGTGAAAGATCCTGTCTCAAAAAATAAAATGGTGAAAGATCAAGGAAGACACCTATGGCCTCCACACATGCACACACACACACACACACACACACACACACACACACACGCACACGCACATATACCATATGCATACATACAAAGAATATCACATATACCAAAGAAAAACTCTATTTGATTATACATTGCCTCTGTTTTTGAGCATTTCCTATTTACTAAGCACTTTACATTAGCCAATAAATATGTATCACCACCAAATAGTATAGATATTATTTCCACTTTTAGAAACGAAGACCAAAAGAGACTGGATTTTAGGACATAAAACAGTGAAGAATGGATCAAGAGTCTGTACCAAGTACTGTCTGCCTCCCAAGCCTATTCTCTTGAACTGGTCATGCTGTTCATAAGCTGGGGAACACCTTTTCCTGGAGATACTCAGAGACTGACCATTAATTCTCAGGAACAGCACCACACCAGCATATTCTTGCTTTTGTAGTTGGGATGACTGTAGAATCTCACCTTTGGCATATGACCAAAGGAATTGAAAACAAGGTTTTGAAGGGATATTTGTATACTCACATTTATAGCACAAATAGTGCCGATTGACAGATGAATGAGCGGATACACCATGGTTTCTACATACAATGGACTAGCAGTCCTCGTTCAAACGGAAGGATGTTCTGACACTTGCCACGATGTAGATGAATCTAGATGGCATTATGCTAAGTGACATAAGCCCGGGACCAGAAGATACACTATGATAAGATGTCTAACAGCACCAAACTGGGGAAACAGGAAGTAGAGTGGTACCTGTGGCAGGGTGAGAGGGATGGCAGTCAGTGTTTGGTGGGAGGAGGCCTTAAGTTTGCATGATGAACATATTTTGGAGATAGATGGTGGTGGTGATAGCTGCAGTGTGTGAGTGTATTGAATACCACTAAATTATACACTTAAAAATGGCTAAGGTGCTAAATACTGTTTGTATTTCACCACTAATTCAAAACTGTAATCACTAGAGAAACCGTGAAAGCCCTTTCACCTCTTAGAATCTAGAATTGTGTAAAACAACCAGGAAAAGTGGGTGTTTATCAGCAAAATGTATTGTAATTTTGTGCTTAGTGCTGAGAAAGTGCGAATTCTTGTGCTGGGCACATAATGGGTGTGCTGCACACACTGAATCTACGTTAGTCACAAGAAAGTTGGAGGTGGTGACTTTGTCTTCTTACACTCATGATACGTGTTAATAATTGTGGGAAACACTGATGACAAAAATAATTGAAATCACTTGTAGTCCCACTGTAAACATTTCTACATAAATTCATGCTGGCTGTTTCTACACATATAAATATAGTGCAACAATGAGATCATATTACAGCCCCTCTTTGGTAACCTGCTGTTTCTTCTGCTTTTCAATATAATTATGACCTTCTTTCCATGTAAATTGGAAAAATCGAATATTGGCTTTTATTACACCTATTCATCATCTGTAACAATTGGTAGGGTATGATAACATGGATAATTGAAAGCTATTGTTCCTCCCTCTTCCCTTCCAGTCTGTTTTTTCTTCAGAGAATTCCTCCCTTCACGAAGGCAGAAGTATGCCCCCGCAGCTTATGGGAACCGGTTTCCACCCGTTCTCCTTCCGGCTGCCTGGTGCCGCGCACGCTCACTTCCAGCTGGGGCTGAACACGCCTGCCAAGTTCTCTGTCCTCTTCCACCTGGCTTGTCTGCTTTCTACCTCAGCTCCTCTCATTTGCCCCTCACCTTCCCCCTCCCATCCACATTGCAGTTCTTCATACCAGGAGTGGCCTGTAGAAAGCCCACCTCTCTGAGAAACTCTCACCCTGCCCTAAAGAGCTCTTTTTCAATAAGTCCCCAGGACGGTTGGTGCTAACACGTGAATAGTCCTTGAGTATTGACTCACCCGCTTTGCACACTGCAGATGTGCCCTGCCCATCCACCGAATGATACAGTGTAAAGACAGAAAGCTGCCTCTGCCTCAGATGGAAAACCAGTGGACATTT